ATATGTGGAAGGTAGATGATACTACATATGGTGGAAGGTAGATGATACTACATATGTGGAAGGTAGATGATACTACATATGGAAAAGATAGATGATACTACATATGTGGAAGGTAGATGATATTACATAAGTGGAAGGTAGATGATACTACATATGTGGAAGGTAGCTGATACTACATATGGTGGAAGGTAGATGATACTACATATGTGGACGGTAGATGACACTACATATGGTGGAAGGTAGATGATACTACATATGTGGAAGGTAGATGATACTACATATGTAAAAGATAGATGATATTACATAAGTGGAAGGTAGATGACACTACATATGGAAAAGATAGATGATACTACGTATGGTGGAAGGTAGATGATACTACACATGTGGAAGGTAGATGACACTACATACAGAAAAGATAGATGATACTACACATGTGGAAGGTAGATGATACTACATATGGAAAAGATAGATGATACTACATATGGTGGAAGGTAGATGATACTACATATGTGGAAGGTAGATGACACTACATATGGAAAAGATAGATGATACTACATATGTGGAAGGTAGATGATACTACATATGTGGAAGGTAGATGATACTACATATGTGGAAGATAGATGATATTACATAAGTGGAAGGTAGATGATACTACATATGTGGAAAGTAGATGGTACTACATATGTGGAAGATAGATGATATTACATAAGTGGAAGGAAGATGACACTACATATGGAAAAGATAGATGATACTACATATGTGAAAGGTAGATGATATTACATAAGTGGAAGGTAGATGATACTACATATGTGGAAGGTAGCTGATACTACATATGTGGAAGGTAGCTGATACTACATATAGTGGAAGGTAGATGATACTACATATGTGGACGGTAGATGACACTACATATCATTAATACAACTTTACTGTACTAGAAGGAGTGATATGTTTCTTTCTTCTGGTTAAATGTTTTGTCATTAATACAACTTTACTGTAATTGAAGGAGTGGTATGTTATCTCTTCTTCTGGTTAAATGTTTTGTCATTAATACAACTTTACTGTAATAGAAGGAGTGGTATGTTATCTCTTCTAGATAAATGTTTTGTCATTAATACAACTTTACTGTATTAGAAGGAGTAGTATGTCTTAATACAACTTTATTTTAATAGAAGGAGTGTTATATTATATCTTCTTCTGGTTAAATGTTTTGTCCTTAATACAAATTTACTGTAATAGAAGGAGTGGTATGTTTTTTCTCAGTCTGGTCCATTCTTGGACTGGCTGGGTTCCATACTTATTTGACAACGTCTAATCAGACAACTAATGAAGATGTAAGTTGTACTTATTAAAATTGAAATAAGATAATTTCCTACATTTGTATTATTGTATGCCCTGTGAATATACATATGTAATCTCCAATCTAGATATGTAGTATCATCTACCTCGTAAATTGTTGTATTGCTTATCTAGATAATAGTATTCTCTATCCTTTAGAAATGTAGTATCATCTAGCTTGTAGATGTGTAGTACCGTCTACCTTCTAAATGTTTTGTATCCTCTAGCTTTTAGGTATGTAGTATCATCTATCTTTTCCATATGTAATGTCATCTACCTTCCACCATATATAGTATCATCTTTCTTCCACATATCCAGTATCATCTTCCTTACACATATGTAGTATCATCTATCTTCCACTTATGTAATATCATCTATCTTCCACATATGTAGTATCATCTACCTTCCACATATGTAGTATCATCTACCTTCCACATATGTAGTATCATCTATCTTCCACTTATGTAATATCATCTATCTTCCACATATGTAGTATCATCTACCTTCCACATATGTAGTGTCATCTATCTTCCACATATGTAGTATCATCTATCTTCCACTTATGTAATATCATCTACCTTCCACATATGTAGTGTCATCTACCTTCCACTTATGTAATATCATCTACCTTCCACATATGTAGTATCATCTATCTTCCACATATGTAGTATCATCTATCTTCCACATATGTAGTATCATCTACCTTCCACCAACAAAACATTTAACCAGAAGAAGAGATAACATTTCACTCCTTCTATTACACTAAAGTTGTATTAATGACAAAACATTTAACCAGAAAAAGAGATAACATATCACTCCTTCTGTTACAATAAAGTTGTATTAAGGACAAAATATTTAACCAGAAGAAGAGAAACATATCACTCCTTCTATTACAGTAAAGTTGTATTAAGAACAAAACATTTAACCAGAAGAAGAGATAACATATCACTTCTTCTATTACAGTAAAGTTGTATTAAGAACAAAACATTTAACCAGAAGAAGAGATAACATATCACTTCTTCTATTACAGTAAAGTTGTATT